CATAAAATGAAAGGCCGGGCAAGGAGAGCATTAATCAGAGAAGCAGCCAAGAGGCCTATGGTAACTCTTGAGGAGCTGCAGAGATCCAGAGCTCAGGTAGGAGAATCTGTCCACAGGACAACTATGAGTCGTTCACTCAACAAATCTTTCTTTTATTGAAGAGTGGCAAGAAGAAAGCCATTGTTGAAAGAAAGCCATAAGAGGTCCCGTTTGCAGTTTGTGAGAAGCCATGTGGGGGACACAGCAAACGTGGAAGAAGGTGCTCTGGTCAGATGAGACCAAACTTGAACTTTTTGGCGTAAAGTAAAACGTGTGGTGGAAAACCAACACTGCACATCACCCTGAAAACACCATCCCCACCGTGAAATATGGTGGTGGCAGCATCATGTTGTGGGGGTGCTTTTCTTCAGCAGGGACAGGGAAGCTGGTCAGAGTTGAAGGGAAGATGGATGGAGTCAAATATAGGGCAATCTTAGAAGAAAACCTGTTAGAGTCTGCAAAAGACTTGAGACTGGGGAGGAGGTTCACCTTCCAGCAATGGAATTATTTAGATCAAAGCATATTCATGTGTTGAAATGGCCCAGTTAAAGTCCAGACCTATATCCAATTGAGAATCTGTGGCAAGACTTGAAAATTGCTGTTCACAGACGCTCTCTATCGAATCTGACAGAACTGAAGCTATTTGCAAACAAGAATGGGCAAAATTTCACTCTCTAGATGTGCAAAGCTGGTAGAGACATCCCCAAAATGACTTGCAGCTGTAATTGCAGAGAAAGGTGGTTCTACAAAGTATTGACTCAGGGGAGCTGAATACAAATGCACCCCACACTTTTCAGATATTTATTTGTGAAACATTTTGAAAACCATTTCTCATTTTCCTTCCACTTCACAATTATGTGCCACTTTGTGTTGGTCTATCACATAAAATTCCAATAAAATACATTTACGTGTTTAGTTGTAACATGACAAAATGTGGAAAATTTCAAGGGGTATGAATACTTTTTTAGGCACTGTATATGAAATGTTGGGTTTACATTTTCTTTAACATAAAGAACCCCTTTAAGAAATAAGCCTAGAACTATAGGCAAAACTTTTTTTTTTCATTTTGGATTGAGTAAGGGAGGGTTATAACCCCTGTAAAAAAAAAAAACTTTCCTTCACCTGTGTCCAATTGCAGAGATTTCCCTTCACTTCCTGTCCCATAAGAGGAAATGAGTGAAAATCAGTGCAAATTAAGGGAATTCCTTGGGGACCCCCAGAACTAGTGTCCCCTTTGGATTTCCCCTCCCCAAAATGTGGAGTTTTCTTTTATTTTCACTTTCAATGACAAGGGTAAACAGGACAAATAGAGAGCATGCATCTCCATAAGGGGCACAGACAGCAATAAACATTTACAAGTGTCCTAATCCATCTCCACTCTATCAAACACTAAAAAAAAGTCAAGTTTTAATCTGTGTTAATTGACTTATGATATGCTGAGTATGTCTGTTCACACTGATTCAGTTTTCAATTTCATACCACAAATGTTCTTTGGGACCCAATAATTATGTACAGCAGTAATGCCTGTACTGTTCAGGCATATCTATCAGACTGTTTTGATTATTATTTCTGCAGAGTGGCACAAATTTGGGATTACCCTAATTATTATATATAGAGAGTATATTGTGCATTTTTAGCACTCAATTAAAGACCCAATTTTTAACTCTTCTAGTCTGCGGGTTAAAAAAGCTGCACTCCCAGTCTTGACCCCCTTGGGTTGTTCCCTATGCTCTGCCCCCCCCCCCTTTTTTTTTTTCTCCTCACCCTTCCCTCACTCCCTCTCCTTATCCCCTCCCCCTCTCCCCCCCCCCTTATCTTTACCCCCTTTTTCCACCCCTACCCCTCCCCTAGTTACCTCCTGCATGTAATTCTCCCCCCTCTCCCTCTTTTTGCTAATTTCCTATTTTTCTCTATTTTTCTTCATTCCTCACAAGTCATACCATCACTAGCATCCTCCCATACACATTCTCTTAATTTTCTTCAGATGGTACTGATAGGCACACACATCACTTTTGAAAACAAGATACGTACCGCTTGACTTGATAAACGGCTACTATAGATCCCGATCCGCAATCCCCTCATGTAGATTTACCTGGTTTTGTGTTACGCTCCATCTCCCATTCTTGATCAGATAGACACCCATGCCCTCACGCAGACCCCTACAATCAAACTGTGATTCAGAATAGCCTTTCCTCTAGTTTGGATGTAATCCCTTGCAGTCTGCATTCTCTCATCACATTATGCACTGAGTGTGTTTTTGGACAAATTGTATCGCCTAAAAGATTGTGCCTTTCTACCTGCCTTGATCATTGTGATCCTTGTGATATCCCCTCTGTGCTGTACTTTTGACTTGTATTGCCTTTTTGATCCTAATGTTATGGAAAAAAAAAAAAAGCTGCACATGCCAATGGCAAAAAGATCTTGAGAAATTTTATGGGTCAGAACACCTTAGAATAGAACTGTAATTCCTTGAATGAAGAGAAACAGGTTGAGGTGGTTGGACATATTACCCAGGTTGTCATTGGATCTGGTGCATATTCATCTTCTGAGAAAGAGACCTTGGTGCAGACCTAGAACATACTAAGATAATTAAATTTCACAGACTACCTGGAAATATTTACAGCACCTGTAGCAGGAGCTGAAATCTATGTTCAGCCAAGAACTTCAGGTTGGCCTACCTCCCCCATCAGAATATGTTGCCTAAAAATTCTGATAGCGTCAGTCATCTGTTTAGATTTAATGTATATACATGTGAAACTCAAAAAATTAGAATATCGTGCAAAAGTTCATTTATTTCAGTAATGCAACTTAAAAGGTGAAAGTAATATATGAGATAGACTCATTACATGCAAAGCAAGATAGTTCAAGCCGTGATTTGTCATAATTGTGATGATTATGGCTTACAGCTCATGAAAACCCCAAATCCACAATCTCAGAAAATTAGAATATTGTGAAAAGGTGCAATATTCTCGGCTCAAAGTGTCCCACTCTAATCAGCTAATTAAGCCATAACACCTGCAAAGGGTTCCTGAGCCTTTAAATGGTCTCTCACTCTGGTTCAGTAGGAATCCCAATCATGGAAAAGACTGCTGACCTGACAGTTGTGCAGAAAACCATCATTGACACCCTCCATAAGGAGGGAAAGCCTCAAAAGGTAATTGCAAAAAAAGTTGGATGTTCCCAAAGTGCTGTATCAAAGCACATTAATAGAAAGTTATGTGGAAGGGAAAATGGTGGAAGAAAAAATGTGCACAAGCAGCAGGGATGACCGCAGCCTGGAGAGGATCTTTAGGAAAAGGCCATTGAAAAATGTTGGGGACTTTCAGAAGGAGTGGACTGGGGCTGGAGTCAGTGCATCAAGAGCCACCACACACAGACGGATCCTGGACATGGGCTTCAAATGTCGTATTCCTCTTGTCAAGCCACTCCTGAACAACAAACAATGTCAGAAGCAGCTTACCTGGGCTAAAGAAAAGTGCTCAGTGGTCCAAAGTCCTCTTTTCTGATGAGAGCAACTTTTGCATCTCATTTGGAAACCAAGAACCCAGAGTATGGAGGAAGAATGGAGAGGCACACACTGCAAGATGCTTGAAGTCCAGTGTGAAGTTTCCACAGTCTGTGTTGATTTGGGGAGCCATGTGCTTCATTAAGTCCAAGGTCAACGCAGCTGTCTACCAGGAGATTTTGGAGCACTTCATGCTTCCTTCCGCAGACGAGTTTTATGGGGATGCTGACTTCATTTTCCAGCAGGACTTGGCACCTGCCCACACTGCCAAAAGCACCAAAACCTGGTTCAATGACCGTGGGATTACTGTGCTTGATTGGCCAGCAAACTCGTCTGACCTGAACCCCATAGAGAATCTATGGGGCATTACCAAGAGAAAGATGAGAGACATGAGACCGAACAATGCAGAAGAGCTGAAGGCCGCTATTGAAGCATCCTGGTCTTCCCTAATACCTCAGCAGTGCCACAGGCTGATAGCTTCCATGCCACGCAGTAATTGTTGCAAAAGGGGCCCAAACCAAGTACTGAGTACATATGCATGCTTATACTTTTCAGAGGTTTGATATTGTTCTACGTACAATCCTTGTTTTATTGATTTCATGTAATATTCTAATTTTCTGTGATTGTGGATTTGGGGTTTTCATGAGCTGTAAGCCATAATCATCACAATTATGACAAATCACGGCTTGAACTATCTTGCTTTGCATGTAATGAGTCTATCTCATATATTAGTTTCTCCTTTTAAGTTGCATTACTGAAATAAATTAACTTTTGCACGATATTCTAATTTTTTGAGTTTCACATGTAAAGTAGCCATTATTGCTCTTGTTTTTCATGTTTTATAAAAGTTTTTAATCTCAGGCCGTGGACTGCTGGCTATGTATGGTCCATGGGAGGACAATAGTAGTGCAGCAGGAATAATATTCTTTTTTATGAGCTTAGGGGAGAAGGCTTAAACCCATGTTTGGTTTTTATTACTTTCTGTGTCAGCATTGAGGAGTTTTCTTTGTAAAATTTTAAATAGAATAGGAAATGTAGTGAAAATTCCTCAACAGGGAGATGGCATTCAAAACCTGTCAATCTTCTCCACTCTATTCAAAACTGCAAAAATAGGTTCTGGAGTTAGGCTTTATAGCAGCAACCTTTATAGTCCAGAAATTTAGATGTGGCTCTTTTCTTCTCAGAAAACCTAGTAAAAGTAATCTGTGAAATTATGTATTTGATTATAGGCTTGTATGGGTAAATAACATCAACAATAAAGGTGTATGAGTGCAAGACTCACTCATAACTGCAGCACAGGAGGAGACTCTCTCTTAATAACTGGATAAATAAAGTGTTGGATAAATGAGTTTAGATAGTGTTAGAAAAAAACATTGAAGAGGAGCAGCTTATCATAGCTATGACCAGGGTGTTGTGGAAAAAATATTTGTATGTAAAATCTTAATTCTTTTCACAGGATTCCAGCAAAAGTCCCAAAAATGTCAAGAAGTTTCTTCCTAAACGAAAACCAGAACGAAAAGCTTCGGATGATGAATCTGCTCTCAGGAAAAGTATGCAACAGTTATTTTTTTTTTTTTGTGCATGTTTAGGAACCAATATGGACTTTAACCACTTACAGTATGTAAAAAAAAAAACAAAAAAAATTTTTTTCTTTTTTTACTTCTGTCATCAGAGTACTTCATCATCAATAGTGACACTGTACTACTTCGGGATGAGGGTGATCAGGGTTTGTTTTTATTACACTGGTATTGCTTATAACAGTGATGATTACTGTTATAAACAACAGTTTTAACTTTCATGAATGAAAGTCATTCATGACCACTTGCTTACTATTGTGATGCTGTGATTGGCTACAGCTAATCACATGGTAAAGGGTGCCAGGTATCATGTGATAGCGGTGAGCTACTCACCGCATCACAATAGTAAGAAAACTGACATGAATGGAAACCATTCATGATAGTTTTGCTTGCATGTAATCATGAGATCGCTATGATTGGTCATAGTGATCAAATGATACCCCGGCCACTCACAGCTGCTGCTGTGTCCACATGCCAGTGCGCATTTGCAGAGAAATGTAACGGTACATCGCTTAGCCTGTAGCTGTTTCATTCCTGCAGTAAATGTGCTGTGGGTGGGTGGCAAGTGGTTAAATCGCTGTTGACAGTTTTATTTTTATGAAACGGCTTGGTCTCCAAGCTGGACCAATGTAAGTATGCTATTAAAATAAAGATCATACCTGATGTTTGACTTTAAAAGTTAATATACAACCTTTTTTCCTTTAAAATGCTTTTCATTATGTTAACTTTTGTTTCCATATGACCTGTAGCTGGTCACATAAGTAAAAACTAATTCAGAGCAACACTTTGCAACACTTTGCATTTCATCTCAGTAATGTAGCAATCGTGCTGAAACGCCAAAGACATGGGCAGCTCTGAAATACAATTACATTAAACTTAGTTGCGAGCTCTGTGTATTCTAGTTACAGGCAAACATTCATTTTTTTGCTTTCCTGTACACATTAATATTCTCTTCCTTAAGATGCAGATTTATAAGACTGAATTGCAGGGTTGGTAGATATCAGGTCAACAATATCTTGCTTACATTTTCCCATTTTAAATCCATTGTAAATCTTTGTGAATAGGAGTGAAATAAAACTGTGTTTTACTTCTGCTAAACTTCCTTTTCCAGGTACTGTAGCATTGGAAGAAGATGCACAGATTCTGAAAGTGATTGAGGCTTATTGCACAGGAGCTGGCTTCCAGCAAAACCTCAGCTCTGGTAATCCAAATATTACATTTTTGTTATGACAGAACTGATTGCAGGAAAACACATAGAAAGATCAACCCAATTTACAGATTCTCTTAAAATGACCGTTGCCAGACCATTTTTAAAATAAGGGATCTTGCTTTTAAACCTATTTTCTGCTTGTTATTTACCTGTAAAAGCTTCCCTTGTGCAGACATCTAAAATTCTTTACACTTATGCTGGCTCTCACCATCTTGAATGTGTCAGCAGCCCTAGCAAAATCAAAGCTTTCACTCAAGTGACTGACTGTTCTCCCCTGGCAGCTACATCAAAGGGTATATGTAGGGAGAGGAGGAGCTTGGCCAGAACAGACAGTGTGTGTGTGTGTGTGTGTGTATATATATATATATATGTATATATATATATATATATATATATACACACACACACTCGCAAAGGATGAGAAGACTGACATTCAAGGAGGGAGGAGAAACTGTGGCTGTGCTATGGGAATGTTTATGGAAAGGAGAATGCTGCAAGTAGACGATAAAACAAACATGCATACTCACCTCTCTGCTGCAGGATCCGTATGATGTTGCAGCTGTTCCACGTCAGTTCTAAAGCTGAGAACTGAGAGATCCTCATGACATCGCTCAGCTCTCGGTCTGCTCAAAGTGGAGAACAATGACTGGCAGTCACTGTTCTCTGCTCATCCAGCCGGGTCAGGAAGGGGGTGGTCACAGTTGGCTCTGGCTCTTATCCACGTGCTGAGCCAGATGTCAGTCACGCAGTTGGGTGGATGCTGACAATATTGTCCAGATCCTTCCAGAGCCTGGGGCTTCTCTGCTCTGTCAGCTTATAGTGGGCAGTATTCCTCTAAAATCTGACTCTGGGTCACAGCAAAACAAAAGTAAGTGTACTCCTGTGAAAAGATTTGGCCATACTTCTTTTTTAACTACAGTGTTGTCTCAGGACCTAGTTGTACTGTTCAGCAGAGGTGTATGGATCTCAAAACTGTCTGAATAGAGTTCCAAATTGTTTGCCAGGTACAATAACTCCCCTTTACTGTATGTACAGTGCTTCAGCTATATTTAGATGTGTGTCTGGAGTTTAACTTTGACCCTGGGACACAATATTGGCATCAACACCTCCTCAATTGCCTGCCATTTGTAAATATCAGGATATTGTACTGTAATTCACTAATGTCCTTAATGATATGTAATTGTAATGATTTATTTTGTGTACTTTTTATTGCAATTATTTCATATCTGTTGTATTGACAAATGTAAGAGATATGTGTTTGCTGATGTGTGTTCATGGTGCTGTGGAAGAAAGGGTTAAGTAAGTGAAAGTTTCCAAGTCTGCAAAAGTAAGATAGATTTTATCTTCCTATTTCCTTTGTCTGTTACAAAACAAGAGTCTCTCTGAAGCAGTAGATCTGTGGGTACAAAATGTTGTTTAAACAATGAGGTGAATTCTTTACAGATGAACCTGCAAGTATAGAACAAAATGACTGGGGTGCAGATTTTTAAACCTGGAACAAAAAAGGAAAACTTGTATTACTTGCACCAGGTTTTTCAAATCTTGGTTTTATATGTGTATCTGTGTTTATATACATTAATGATACAGTATAATGCTGATTATCAATTCTTATAAATGTCCATGTACACAGAAATCTCAGGCATCATTAGAAAGGTATTAAGGATTACATTTTTATTCCATTGCTAGCAATGTTTCTGTGTCCCAAATAACTTTTTTAATATACCTTTTGCTACACTGCTGTTTTAACACCCATTGCTTGAGAAATCCATATGCCAGGTCCAAATGACATATGGCTCTTCTATAGAAACCATGTAGATTTTTCTAGTATAAATAAAAGTGAAACAAGAATCTGCTTACTGTGGATGATACATACACTTTTCTGAATTGATCCCTTAATAGAAACATTTTCAAATAGTTAAAGTGGTTGTAAAGGCTCAAGGTTTTTTACCTTCATGTATTCTAGGCAGAAAATGCATTCTAGGTGCATGTATTCTATGCATGAAGGTAAAATACCTTCTGTGTTCAGCAGCCCCTCAATGCTTACTTGAGCTCCCTCCGATCCAGCAACATTCTCGACAGCCTCTGCTGTCTAGAGACTCTTCCTCCTCTTTGACTCAGACAGCAGCAGAAGCCCATTAGCTCCCGATGCTGGCAATCACAGCCAGTAAGCCAATGAGGAGAGTGTGGGGGGCAGGGCCAAGCCGTGGCTGTAGGTGTCTTATGGAGGCATAGAGCAGCTGCTCTGGGAAAAGCACCCAGCGGTGCCCCCAGAGAGAAAGGCTTTCCCTGGTTGGGGGCACTGCTTGAGGGAGAGGGGCCAGGAGCACCACCGGGGACCCAAAAAGAAGAGGATCTGGCCTGCTCTGTGCAAAACCACTTTACAGAGCAGGTAGTTATAGGCATTATTCTTATTTAAAAAAGCAACACAAGCTTTAGTGTCACTTTAAAGCCCTAAACCATATTTTTGCAGTCAAATTTGAGAAACCCCCATTATATATTTATAATGTCTTCCCATTCACACAGCATACCTAAAATAGATAAATTCTTTTTAAAAATTGTCTTACATTTTAGACGTTTTTAAGGAAGGGTGTCCTGTCTTTAGTGTTTTTGTCCCCACTCTACCCCTCATTAACATACAATGCAGGAGGGCAGTTTCTAAATTTGGAATTTTTTGTTGGGACGGGCAGTGTTCATATCTAGGTTACAGCAGAAGAACTGAAAACACAGTACAGGTATGGTTAATTATGTTAAAGATTTCTCCAAAGCCCTGTCCTGAACATACAAAGCAGGAAGATCAGGTGAGGATTTTAAGCAAGTAAAAAGCACTTAAAGCAGTAGTAAATGCCAGCAATAAAAAAAGTGGGTCTCTTGGAAGTTTAAGCTATAGTGTGCTAATATGCAATGCATACTAGCATGTTATAGTAGACTTACCTTAAAATGAAGCCCTCCAGTGGCTGGCTGTCCCCGCTAACAGTGCTTCCATCATCACCTGTTTTTCCTTCTCAGTTTATGGCACCGGCCATTTGAATGGCTGGGCAGTGATGAATTCACTCCCATTGATACACATGGGAGTCATGGCTGTGACACAGCACTCTGACTTAATGGCGTACTCAGTGTGCTGTCACTTCAAAGCGCAGAGCACACATGCCAGTGACATCACTGGCTGCTTCCAGTGTAACTATCTCCTAAACACCGCAAGTATGGGAGACATTCACTGTACTTACAGGTAAGCTTTTTAGGATCTATTTCTGGCTTGGGTGGCCACCATGTATATCCCAGGCATGGACGGTTGGCTGATGGACATCTTTAGTCATCAATGTCTGAACCCCGGAGAGTAGTCCTTTCACATTATGGTGTTTCAAGACCTCTGTTGCAGGTGGGGAACACCAGACTTGAACTTCCTAGTCTCCAGGTTCAATAACAAACTGAGCAGCCTTTCTAGTGGTTGCTCTGGTGACTCCGTTCAACCTGATCGTTGCCTTTTTCCCTCTGAAGCTTCTTCCTTGCCTGTTCTGCAGGAATAAGATTGAGGGAATTCCAGTGATTCTCATTGCACCAAACTGGCTTAGGAGGATGTGTTACTTGAACTACTTCAGGCTCCTGACAGACCCTCTGGAGGCCTTCCTGGTGTTATGATCCTCCAGGTGGTGCCTCTGGCAGCCCACTGGACAGACCTACCCAAAGCGTGGAATCTAAGTCCCAGTCTGTGCTTTCACCAGGGCCCCTGATGGTGGGGATGGACTTGTAACAGACCAGGGCCAAGTCACGACCTCCGAGCAGGCCTACCAGTGGCAGAGGCAACCTCCGGGGATGTATAGGTACTGGGAGAGCCAGATGTGAGGAGGACGGCGGGACCTAGCAGGATGGGTCACAAGCAGCAGTCCCGTGGGGGTAAGCGAGGTACAGAATCGGCAAGCCAAGAGTAGGCAGGTCACACGCAGGGTCAGCAGGATAAGTCAGTCCGCAGATAGGTCAAACAAGCCGAGGATCAGGAGTGGAGAAGGCAGAGTAGTCAGGGCAATCCGAGTCAAAGCACAGGAGAAGGCAGCGTAGTCAGGGTCAATCAGGGTCAAAATACAGGTACAGGAACTCAGGATCACATATAGACCTTGCGGCGATTAGTGACAGTGCAGGGCATCTTTAAATATTGCGTCCTGCACTGTCATTGGCCGTCCAGGATGCGCCCCCGGGCTGTCATTGGCCGCCCGAGGCGCGCCCGCGGCTCCTTCTGCGCATGCGCGGCGTCCTGTCATCTGCGGCCCGCCGGGACCTGGCGCTTGTGTCCCGGCGTGAGCCGTCGCCAGTGCGCGTGCGCCAGACGAGGAGACTCCGCGATCCCTGACACCTGGCTTGTTTCAATCTTCTGTCGCAAGAGCTGATTTACAATCCAGAGACTTGTCAGATCTGTTCATCCCTAGCTTTGGAAAACTAGAATTTGGCTTCCTGCAAAGTCTGCCATTGCACTTAAAAGGTGTGTTTTTCCAGGGAATGAGACAAGGAAGTTCACTCCCATGAAATTCCCCATGGGATGAATCATATCTTTTCTCCAGTGTAGTCTGGACCTACATTCGGCCTTGAGTATAATCAATGGTATGAAATCTCAGTCTAAATGGTTCTGTTCAAAGACTAGTTGCCTCTCACTCAGTGAAGGCATTCATACAGTGTTGCACATATTGCTCCTCTTGTGTGATCCCCAGTGACTCAGTAGGATATTAATTGTGTTAGTTCTTCAGAAACCACCCTTTGAACCTTTTAGGGATATTCCTTTGTCTATCCTTACTTGTAAGGTTTCCATTCTTGTTGCCATAACTTCTGCATAGTTAGTTTCTGAAATGGCGACCTTAACCTGTAAGGAAACTTTTCTTGTGCTGCACAAGAACAAGGTTGTTTTGAGGCCAAACCAATTTTCTTCCCAAGGTGCCTTATTCCTTTCATCTTATCCAGAAAACTGTTCTATCATCTCATTGCCCTGCTGTAAAAGATTCTAAGGATATTTCTGTCCATTGTCTGGATGTGGTATGTGCTCTTTGAGTTTATCTATCAGCTACAGCTCCCATTTGACAGCTTGAATTTCTGTTTATTGTTCCACAAAGGTCCCTGCGGTCTGCTACTCAGTCCACTATCTCTAGGTGTTTTCTTCAGCTTATCATTCAAGTTTATAATCTCAAGAGAAACGCTCCCCCTTTTCCTGTCAAAGCACACTCCACTAGAACAGTTAGTGCTTTTTGGGACATTCAGCACTAAGCATCTGTTTCCCAGATTTGCAAGACTGCTACCTGGTCTTTTCTTCACGTTAATTCTTACCAGGTGGGCTGCCAGGCTTCAGCTGATGCTGGCTTCTGCCAGGTCTGTACACTGTTTAACCACCCCTGTAAACCTGTTGGTTTTGTGGGCCTGTCAGCCTTTCATTTTTTTGGTTGCCCACTCCTCAACTGGACAGCTTATGGAAATCCCAGTGTTCCTGAATACTTCTCCTGCAACGTATGACGGATATTATAATGTACTCCTTTTTTGAAGTACATTGCAAGATACAGATCCCTCCCCTCTGTTCATATGATCCACTCCTATTATTGCTTTCTACAAAACTAAAGTTTGCTGGGAGTGGGAGACTTTTATACTGGGCTGTCCTTACAGCTCTTGTTTGCCAGTGCCCAGTCTCTTGAAGGCAGCAGCATAACTCAGTGTTTCTTAATAGTTCTCTAGTTCTCTTGTGTCCCACAATGTACATAATGTAAAGTGAAATAGTGAAAAATATTTTATTTTTATATATATATATATATATATATATATATATATATATTTTTTTTTTTTTTTTTTTTTTTTAACTAAAATATGTTTTTATTTTGTTAATTTTCTTTTTTTTTAGGTCCTCGGAAGGATTCTATTCCACAGGTCTTGCTTCTTGAGGAAGAAAGTCTCATTATTGATGATATGAGGAGCAATGGTCAAACTGCACCAGAAGAAAAGTAAGATATTGTGCAATGCACTGATCAGGTTTAGGCCTTTAGTGCCTAAAAGGATTATTATTATTATAAAGGATTTATATAGCGCCAACAGTGTGCGCAGCGCTTTACAAAATGAAGGTCGACATAACAGTTACTTTTTTTTTTTTTTAATTTAAATATTTTATTGTTTTCAAATCACCATATTAAATGTACAAAAGCTAATAAAACAAACAGTATACATTACACATTTCTGTCATAACACTCCCCAGAAATAACCTTAATCTCAGTGACCTTTTACCCCTCCCCTTACCTATTCCCCCCTCCCACCCTTTGACTATGCATTTTTAACTTCATTCTAGAAATACTGAACCTTAGCTATTACTGGTATTATACTGTACTATATTTACCCCCTTCCCCTTCTTTTCCTTATTTCACATATTCTAGGTATACCTCTGAATTTTTAAACTGTTCCCACTTCTCCCAACTTGTACGACATACCTCCATTTTATCTTCTTCCCATATAGTAAAGTTCCTCCATTCTATATATCTTCTCCACTCTTTCTACCCAATCCTTTTTTTTCGGTGTTTGTTGTTTCTTCCAAAACTTGGATATCAGTCCCTTCGCTGCATTTAAATAATACAACAATCCCGTTTTTTTTTATATTTTTTTTTAACCGAAAACGCGGTACCAAATAGAAGGCAAGTCTCAGGGTCCTTAGGAAATATTATCCTCTGTTATTTCCTGAATTATATTCACTATGCCCTCCCAGTATTTTTGAATTTTTGTGACACTCCCACCATAAGTGTATCATTGTACCTCTCTCTCCACATCCCCGCCAACATAAAGGTGAGTTGTCTCCACTTATTCTATGCCCTACGTTCGGTGTAATATACCATCTTACTAAACACTTCATTTCCATTTCCTTCATATTTACATTCCCGTGAATTAAACTATATATTTTCTTTTGTTTTCCCTCATCAATTATTACTTCTAAATCCCTTTCCCACTTCTCTATAATTAGTGGCCTTGTAGCCATGATTAAACCTGTGAGAATTTTTATTTTAGTGATCCCATGCTTCCCATCTCCTCTTATGTCTAATAAGTGCTCAAAGGGGTTCCAATCTTCTCTTTTTCTTTATGGCACTGGGAGACTACCTAAAAAATGTTTTAGTTGACCATACCGCCATTCATCCATTCTCGCAAACATATCCCTCCCACTTTCCATTTCACTAAGTGGACACAACTCTTCTCCCACCATTATATCTTTTAATTGAACATCTTTCTTCTTTATCCAATTCCCTGTAATACTCTCTTTGCCTGGAGGAAAAAACTCGGTAGATCCTAGTAGCATTAACAATGAATTAAATTCCCACCCCCTTTGTTTGTGTAAAGTGTCCCATACTCTCAAAACATTACCTGTAAACAAACTTGTGCTATCTTTTAATCCTCTAAATTGAGGAGGTAACCAAATGATTCTACTTAAATTCATGTGACTTAATGTATTTTCTACGTTTACCCAACTTTTCCCCTGTGCATTATGTGTTCAATCAAAAATTCTTGCCAATATTACTGAATTATAGTATCTCTTCATGTCTGGTACCCCCAGTCCAACTTTTCCTTTATCTCTAATTAAGATTTCATAGCATATTCTGGGCTTCTTATTTCCCCATATAAATGATGTTATAATTTTTTTAATTATTCTAAAATATGCCTCTGGAAGCTTGATTGGTATCATTTGAAATTTATATAGAATTTTGGGAACGATTACCATTTTTATCAAGTTTATCCGACCAATCCATGACTAAAATCTATATAAATTCTTTAAAGATACAGTAAGTTTTATACCCAAATATTTTAGATCTCTTTCTCTCGAAATAAAAAAGAATTCTTCCTGTAACATTTTTTTTCTCTCTATTTGTAAGGTTTATATTTAAGATCTCTGTTTTAGTTGGATTAATTTTTAAGTTTGACATCTCTCCATATTCTTTTAAAGATTTCAATAAGTTTGTTAATGTTATCTTTGGATTTTCTACATAGAACAACATGTCATCTGCATAAGCTGCCACCTTATGCTCAATTTCTCCTACCCAAATTCCTTTTATATCTACATTATTCCTGATGGTAGCCAAAGAGATTCCAAAGACAGTACATATAACAATGGGGACAAAGGGCATCCCTGTCTTGTTCCATTTTGCATCCCAATGTACTCGGATAATTGCACATTTACCATTATTGCTGCCGAGGGTTGGCTATATAATTTCCTAATCCATTCTCTCATTCTAGGTCCCATTCCTATTACTTCTAAGGTGTCTAATATGTATCTCCAATTTACTCTATCAAATGCTTTTTCAGCTTCAATCGCAAGTGCCAACGCTGGAGTTCTTTCCTTCCTACTTTTTTGTGTAAGGAACAAAGATCTTAACAGTTACAATAAAATTTGGTACAAGAGGAAACAGAAGGCCCTGCTCCTTGGATCAGATCAGATCCACAGAATCCTACCGTAGTCACAGGCCTAGAGGTCATTAAAAAAACTTGCTATATTTCTCATAAAATAATTAAGGCAGTTATTATTTTATTTTGTAAAAAGACCTGTAAAATCTGTCTCATATCAAGTTACCCCCTATATCAGCCTTTAAAATTCTGTCTTTCATTCTTGCATGTTACAGTGAAAGTAGAAACCTGACTGATATCCCTGAAAAGCAAAAACATTTTTTACTTTAAACACTTTAGCTTGTAAGGCCGTCTTTTTTTCTTCTTAAATAAACCCTTAGTAGGCATTTAAAATCTCTAAAGTAACAACAACATAGAATTATCTTTTTCAGGCATATCCCTGTTTACCCGCAGAGACCCTTGGAATCTTAGCCCCAGCTGTACAGGGAAATGTACTCATGTCAAGAATACACCCTTCCCTCCTTGGAGCAATGCCTTTTCCCCTGCTAGTCCTCGAGCGCCTAGTCTACACCCGCCTAAGCTCTCACCTCAACGACAACAACCTCCTCGATCCCCTACAGTCCAGCTTCCATCCCCTACACTCCACCAAAACTGCCTTACTCAAACTCTCCAATGACCTGCTAACCGCCAAAGCTAATGGCCACTATTAAGTGCTCCTACTCCTTGGCCTCTCCGCAGCCTTCGATACAGTCGTCGACCACCCCCTCAAAAAAAAACTACACTCCCTCGGCCTCAGAGATTCTGCTCTCTCCTGGCTCTCATCCTACCTGTCACAACACCCTTTCAGCGTTACCTATAATGCTACCACCTCCCCCTCACTCCCACTCTCTGTTGGGGTCCCTCAGTGCTCCGTCCTCGGGCCCCTTCTCTTCTCCATCTACACCTCCTTCCTTGGCCAACTCATACACTCTCACGGCTTCAACTACCACCTATATGCCGACGACACACAAATCTATCTCTCAACCCCCCACCTCACCCCCTCAGTCTCCGCCTGAACCACACACCTACTGAGCGACATATCAGACTGGATGTCACTCCACTTCCTTAAACTGAACCTCTCCAATTCCGAGTTTCTTGTCTTCCCCCCCAGCCCGCACACCACCCCCCATTGACTTCTCCATCATGTCCAACAACGCCACCATCAAACCCGCCTCGCAGGCCAGAGTACTTGGTGTCATTCTGGACTCCAACCTATCCTTCCAGCCCCAAGTCCAATCTTTAACAAACTCATGAAGACTCCACCTCCGCAACATCACCAAAATACGCACGTTCCTAACCCCAGAAACCACTAAACAGCTCATCCACTCCCTCATCATATCATGACTCGATTACTGCAACTCCCTCCTTACTGGCCTGCCTCGCCGCTGGCTATCCCTGCTTCAGTCGATACTGAATACGGCTGCCAGACTCATTCACCTTTCCAACCGCTCTGTTTATGCCACCCTTCTCTGCCAATCCCTCCACTGGCTTCCGATTGGGCAACGGATCAAATTCAAAATCCTAACACTGACGTACAAAGCTGTCCACCATACTGCCCCGAACTACATCACTGACCTAATATCCAAGTACCACCCAACATGCACACTCCGCTCCTCACAAGACCTCCTTCTCTCTAGTTCCCTGGTCTCCTCCTCCCATGCCCGCCTCCAGGACTTCTCCAGGGTGTCACGCATCCTCTGGAACTCCCTGCCCCAACCCATCAGATTATCACCTGCTCTCCTCTCCTTTAGGCGCACCCTGAAAACCCACCTCTTCAGGGAAGCCTACCCCATCCCCTGCTAACTTGCCGACCTCCTCCACTCTTCCTACCACTCCATCCCCCACAGCTTTCTCCTCCTGTGCCACCTTCCCCTCCCTCCTAGATTGCAAGCTCGAAAGAGCAGGGCCCTCGATCCCCTCATGTTTTGCATTGTATTGTATTGTTATTGTTATGTCCCGCATTGTAATGTACAGCGCTGAGCGAACTATTGGCACTTTATAAATACTGTATAATAATAATAGTTAACTGTAAACACCAGAACTTCATTGACCAGATAAAGCTCTGCATTTGCCATCTGAATTAGAGGGGGGGTGGACCTTGTGTCATGAGAAATGTAATCTGAACTTGAGCAGAAATTGAGGCCCCATGGGTTGGGCTTAGGAATCAAGAGGCACAATAGAAACAAAGAGACTGATTCCAAAACTTAAAAGGTACTTGCAAGCACCACAGGTGCCTGACCTTCAACAGTATTGTTGCCTTAGAATGTCAGATCAGGTTCTCTTTAATGAAAGGGACATGTTCAGATGGGAAATATTCTAAAGGTAAATTGGTGTAAATGAAAATTTTGTGGAAAGAAAATTGTAAAAGGAAAATCAATTTAGGAACTTGTCTTTCTCTTTTAACAAAAGAAGTTGATTTAAAGCAGAAAAATGGGGAGAAACTATTGTCAGAGCTGTGATCACTATTATACAGTTCCCGTGGTTACATTTCTGAATGTCTTTCAATTACAACTTACTCAACTTACTGTTCTTGCCTTTGTTACAGGAGTCTTGTAGACACAGTTTATGCATTGAGAGACGAAGTCAAGGAACTAAAACAGGTAAGGACAGCTAAAGAAGGTTTTGCTCTGCAGCTGACTCAACAGTCTTTATATTGTAGTACTACCGTGCCAATAAAATGTGCATAAAAAGTGTAACTATTCAATAATATATGCTGTGAGAATATCAACTTATAAACTGCATCACCAAAATGAATCAAATTATATTCACACAATGTATCATCAAAAATAAAAAAACATATATAAATAAAAAATATTTAAATGAATCCAATTGTGATAATTTTGCAATATAAATAACTAGTTAAAAATAAATAAATTCATAAAGTCCAGTGTACAAATTGTGCAAAAAAATAATATAAAGTTCAGCAGAGAAAAAGTGATAGTAATATACTCTCCTTTCAAGCTGCTTATGATTGTGTAGCTGGGATCATGCGGCTTCTCTTCTGAGCCTGTGTAGGTATAAGGATTTCTCCCTCCTAGAGCCTCTCTTCACTCCAATGCTCAATGTATCCTGGTTTTCCTTTACTTGCAATTTTTGTGGAACAAGCAGCTGTAGGATTTCATTTGTTTTAGTGCCATCATAGCCGGCTACACAAATACTTTTCTCTCCTATCCATTCGATGACTCTGGTTGGATCTTGAAGTTCAAAATCATGTAAATTCTTAAACAGCCTAATAGACTCCACCATCCACTCTTCACACTCTTCACACACTTCACACTGAAGAGTGGATGGTGGAGTCTGTTAGGCTGTATAAGGATTTACATGATTTTGAATTGATTTTACATATAGTACACATCTTATGAGGGTGAGCAAGGATTCCAGCAACCTAATACATTGATTGTTTACTCCAGTGGCTCACAAGTCCATTCATATAATAGTAGTCTTTATATTGTAGGCTGGGTATCAAAGATACAGAACAATTATCATGAAAATTTAGTGGACATCTCTTTTGTTTTTTTGGCACGTAATTAATTTTTTAAAGCTGGATTTGTAATTGTAGATATGGTATATTAATACCTTCTTTTTTTATTAAATCAACATATTGCTTCACTTATATACATGTGGACTTTAAGGTTTCCTTTGGCCAACCTCATCAATAGATTGGCTGTTCTGAATCTTTGCTTTGTAAGATGCTATGGTCACTTTCTGTGATATTTTATATTGTTCTGGAGTTACATGTTCTATTTCATACCATAGGAGAACAAAAGAATGAAGCAGAGTTTGGATGAAGAGCAAAAGTCTAGAAAGGAGTTAGAAAAATTGGTTCGGAAGATTTTAAAGCAAACCAGCGAGACAGCACGTGACAATCCATCTTATTAGTCTACATTTAATCTTGAAGTATCAAGACAGGTATCATGGACGTATGTCATAAAGACCACATGTACAGAACTACAGAACTTTGAATCTTTGTATCGCACATCTGTTTCTGAACAGTTTAGCATTGGGGGGGGGGGTTTAAAATGAGCCCTAAGTATTTTTTAATATGGAAAATATGTCTAGCTCTGATCAGAGGAATTATAGCACATATTATATCTCTGTTTTGATCATGGAAAGCAATCCAAACCTCCCTAGCTGTTGATTTACTGCAGTCTTCAACTGTCCATGGTATACTATGGATATGATTTCACTGGATTACTAAATACAGATAGAGGAACTTTAGAAAATGCAATGCATCTTGGGAAGTGTATTCAAATCTCTCCAAAAGCATAAATTATTTTTGGGTAGGAGTTCAAATAGCAATGTTCATAGCTGGAGTTTTTAATTCCATAAAGGCCACAAAAAATTGTAATTGCAGACAAAATATATATTTTGTGTTTTGGATTGATTGATATATGGTTTCTCAGGTTTAAATGCTATCTGTGTGCCTGTTAGGAAGATTTCTTCTTGCTTCTGGTCCCAGTTTCCATGCAGGAAGCAAGGGAAAAAATTTCTCCCGCTGAGAGACAACCGAAATGTAAAAACTGTCAGATATTCTGACCTTTCTGCAGTCTACAAAGTAGTGCATTTAATGCTGTGTAAGGTCAAGCTAAGCATCCGGACAGCAGTAAAAAACCAACAGCGGTTTTTACCCTCCCTACTCTATACAAAGCTGGCAAAAAAGTTTTGGCTGAAGTTCTATTACAAGTACCTTGCCCAGATGTTCTCATTTCTCCTTTTGAAGAAACTTGCAGTAATTGATTGCTCCTCCATAAAATTTGTTATGGAAGTTTAGATAGACAAGTATAATTGTATCCTTTTTTCAATTCATGGAATGAGCATCATAACAACAAGCCCATCATTTCTCTGGGGATTTCCACAGGCCATGGGCAAAATAGCCATATATTACGGTACCGTACATGATAATGAAACAGAGAGTTTCTATGGTATTTTTGTTCCTTGTTTGCCTAAGCCCTGAAAGGACCTAAAACACAAGCTGACTTACATACAAATATTTTATTTGAAGCTATTTTAAGCTGTGAAAAGTATTTTCTACACAGCTGACTTCCTATTCCAGTAATCCAAAAAGCACAGCAGTCAGCCTATATAAAGCTTAGTAACAGAAAATTGCTTTTGACTATATAGCAAATGCATATACAATGTGAAATATCCATCTGTCCATCCTATGTGCTGTGTGGGGATATTGGAAATTTTACATACATGTTTGTGTATGTTATTTACAATTTAATTTTCTGAGCCAGCATGGATTTTAGGTTAGCTCTCCTTTAAAATGTTGGGTATGGAATTCTAGAGGTCAATTGCAGTTTTTGAAATGAAAACTGTTCTTAATGATTACTAGTTTGGGCAAGTGGGGCTTATCTATATGCTATTTATATAGGTGATTTGTACTGTTATGCTGCACTCTATCCTATGGCAAGATGTATGCAGTTATAATGAAAACCCAATTTAATTTTAAGTAATAAGTGCAATATTTTCTGCTGTCTTAATTAACTTTTTCATGTGAATGGTACGTTACAAGAATACCCCCATGATATGAAAATAGAGGATGGATGAGTTTTGCTTCTCAGCTGTAAACCAAGTTCTTTGCAATATTCTGGCATTTCACATTTGCATCCTTTGATTGATAGGCTGGACCTACAACAAAGTGACCTTTTAAGTACAGCAGACAGATTTCAATAGAGGTCAGCAAATGTAAGATTCAGGTACATTTTTACTGTAAAGGTTTTCATTGTCTTATGGAGCCCTATTTGTTTCTGTTTTTCACAATATGTTACAGAAAGTCCAATCTGATCAGCTGCAGCTGTATGTGAATTATCTTTGCAGCTGTTTTTACTTTCCGTATGGGTTCAGGACTTAGCAGAAAAGCACATGATGCTGTCTCCCAGATCAAATATAAGTATACATTGCCTTTTCTTTATTATGTAAAATTCCTCATGTTTTTTTGGATGTAGCAAACTATGCTCATTGTTTAATATTATAAGGTCTGCAGCATTTTTACGACCATAGAGATCACAGCTAGATGTCCAAGGGCCCCAAGGTAAAGATGGCCATAGGCGGTTCAAATCTGGGCTGATTCAGCAGGGCCTGGCTAGGATTCGAACCATGTATGGACAGGCTGAATGTACCCAAGTTGATCGATTAATCAGCTTGGGTAAAACCAGCCTTTAAGATTTCACATTCGGTTATTGCCAGCAGCTGTTACACAGTAATCAACTCAATGGCTCCGCAGGAGGGATTCACACTGACTGTGTTGATGGGGGAATTTAGCGATTTTCTTTCTTGCAACCTGTGGTTGCAGGAAAGAAAATCACTCCATCCTATGGCCGGCTTAACTCTCTCAGCCAGAAACAGTGGGAGGTACGCAACCTTGGATGCCTCTCAAAACACCAATTTTTTTCCTGTGCAGTCAACACCTATATGATGGAAGTATTGATAGTGTGGCATCTATGCTTTCTTTATGACTGTTTTTTTCTCTCATAAACAAGTACATAGGTTGACAGCGGGTGGTGCTATCAGTACACTATATATACTATTAGTGGAGATTCTGCATTGGACAACCATTAATGACCTACAAGGAGGTACATGACTGAAACTTGGGCAGAAGCAGTTACATTTCAGGAAAATAATTCAGTATTCTGGGCCTCTCTAGTCTATACAGACCTTGTAATTTATTATTTTTAAAACTACTTGCCTTAACAGAATTGCAAAATGAATGGAATATCTATTTGTGCTTTCCTATCATACACTGAATGTTTAATTACATAAAATTATAAAATATAAAATTTGTTTCTGTAAAAAAATAAGTGACATAACACAATGGTATTGTCTGCTTAAGCTTTAGCTTCTAACAGAGTCTTGCTGATATGGCTTTTCACATGGAAACTGAGCATTTAAACATTTTCTCATGGCTCCTCAGCACTCTTCTGTTTTTATGGATGCCTTTATTATACCAGGGATAACTGCTTATTGGTATGGGTTTGCCTTTTAAACACTGCTTCAGGCTTTCCATGGAAAATGTAGAAGGCAGAGTAGCTAGTTCTACCAGTGTAAAGTCAGCACAATGCTTGGGGCTTGCACAGTTGACGTGGTATCTTACTTTCAACTCATGTCTAATTCTCTCACATCACATCACATCTATGATGCATGATCCTGCACATTTTAGAGTGCTATGCAATTATTCTTTTTTGTACATTGAAAATGCAGAATTATATGCAGTTTATTCATGTGCTATACAAAGTGTTGGGAAAGAGTTTAAGAATAAAGATTTCCATTGTACAAAATTTCTAAAAATGCACAATACTTGTGTTTTTGTGCATTAACATTGATTTTAATGGTCCTGCTTAAACAGCATTAATGCTTTAAAAAATATAGCGAGCTGTATCACATAGATGTGAACTAACCATGTAGTAGTAAATATTTTTTTCTGTTAAATGATAATTTTAATAGTAATATTCATGCAGAAAAACAGACAAGCATGAATAGCCTTCTGTAATTAGCCTTAGTTCAGTACAGTCAGTATTAATATAGTGCACGCAGTGTGAATAGCTAATTCTCTAAACATATTTGATGTGTTTTACTGCTTTGGACACACATTTATGCATCATTTCTGTTACCTTGCAAAATTCAGGTCAATGGACTTCCTAGATTTTTTTTTTTTGTAATTACTTTTTTGCCGTGGGTTTTTGTTTAGTAGACAGACTGTTTTAGCTTACCATTATTCCCTCTGGTTCTTGCTCTTGGCTGTGGCAAGGGGCATATTTTGTATCAAGCAGAAGACACCGATTGACTGCCTTTGCCTGAGCACCTGATCAGTGCCTTAGCTTCTCAAAATACCCACTCCTCGCCATGGATAGATGCAGAGAGAGCAGGGAATCAGGAGTCCATATCAGGGAGAAGATAACTGAATAAATCCATGAATCCTCCATCTTCAGGGAGAAGGTAACTCAGCAGATCCACAGATCTCCCAACGTCAGGGAGCAGGTAACTCAACAAACCCACAAATATAGCTTACATTACAACAGCTTTTGCATTTCTCTCTAAATGGCTTTAATCAGCTATGACGAAATACCATTTAGGCTGTAATAAACTTTTCTACATAAAAGATTGTGATAGGGTTTTCCAACTCACTTGTCACAGAAATGAAAGTACTTTAGAAATGGAGATTTTTATGCAAATACTCGATAGACATTAAGGACACTCCTCTTGGACAGGATGTGAATAAGGTAGGCCAGACTTAGCCCAAAAGTCAGGAAATCAAGTTTCTAGTGGCAAATAAAAAATAGAGTGATATACTGACTAATAAAGGCAATCGCAGGCATGTGGAACAAATTTTAATTTTAAATGATTTTTTTCTGTGTCAACTGATGAAGTACATCTTGCATTTTTATCTTGGAGAAGACCATCTTGTCCAACAACTGCAAGACCACAAAAACTGTTGCAAGCTAATTGGTTATTCAACATATATCCTCCTAAAGCTGAAATATTAATTTCAGCTGGAAAACCTTTTAAGTCTATGGTTTATTTTTCCTGGATAGGCATCATGTAGTTGCACTTTAATATATGCTTATATTCAAAGTGCAATGAAAAACTGCGATGCAGCTCTTTTTATTACTTCAAATTATGAAGTATTGTGTGATCAAAATCTATATCATGTGTAACTAAACTTAGTAGTTCAGTATTTTGTTTTGTATTTATCCTATGGTAATATTTAAATTGCTTTTTTGAGGGGGGTAAGGTCAGGGAACTATTGAATTATTGTTTTCCAGACCGCCACCTGTTGATGCCATCAATATCCATTGTTCATTTATTATGTTTCGAAATGAACTGTTTTCTTGTCAAAATTCGGTCTAAAATAGACTTGTTCCCAGTTTTAAGTATCTAAG